TTTCTGAAGAGATTAGGTTTGTTTTATTGTTTATTGAAATAGTTTACTGCTCAAAAGATTTTTTTTGTACTAATGTCTAACCTGTTGAGATGAAGATGTAAAAAAAGAAAAGCCTAATATAGTGAATTAATATTGATAGTATGTCAAGAAATGCAAATGAATCATCAGCTTGAATTATCAGTTTTTTCACAATTATTGACCTGAGTAGGTCAATGTATAGCGAATAATACACTCTTTTCCATATCACATCCTAGCCCGAGACACCAATATCAGCCAGAGGGACAGAGGCCCTAGGGCTGATATTGGTCGAAGGTCTGATACAGGATGTGATGTGGAAAAGGGTATGTTTATTACAAACTTGGTAATAAAATACAGAACACTTCAAGTTGAGAAGATCAAGAAAATAAGTAAATAATCATGCACAATAAAACTGCTTACATACATGTACACGGTATTGTCTTACTGAACAGATATAGCTGTCATTAGGTCAAAATTGCAAATAATAACATGCTTCTTATATCTGTATATACAGGTAACTCTTGATGGCTTGAACTTCGATTTCTCGGAAGTTCTTGATCGCTTGAAGTGAGTCTCCCGTCCCGATTTTTTCCACTATATAACTTAGCAGATTTGCTCTTGATTTCTCGAACTCCTGATCTCTCGAAACCCTTGATCCCTCGAAGTCAAAATGCAGTCCCGCTGTGCTGTGAATTTTACCCTTGATACCTCGAAGTGGCTGTGTGTATACCAAGTTATAATGTTCAAACTTTTGCTATAACTGTATATCTGTGTGTCTGTCTGAGTGTCTGTTGTCAACTTAAACCTTCACCATACTTTAGAACTATACGAGATAGTGGCTTCATATTTAGTATGCATACTCCACTAATGAAGTGCTTTCAAATGGCAACAAGGACAATGATTATGTGATCTTGACTGTGACCTGTATGCTAAAAAAAATTGCATTTTCGAACTTTGTTGCTGTGTTTCACAAGCGCATCTTGTTTTTAGCTCTACTGGTCAGAGACCAGAAGAGCTTATGCGATAGTAATGCGTCCGGCATCCGTCCGTCTGTCTAGCTGTCCGTCTGTCTGCAAACACTACTCCTCCTTAAATTTTAGTCTGATTTCAATATAACTTGGCACACAAGTAGACTATTCTAAGGTACATAATTCTGTGCATCATTTTTGATAAGTACAAACCAGTAGAGCTACAGTCTCAACAGAGACTTCTGGTTATTTTTAGCTCTACTGGTCAGAGACCAGAAGAGCTTATGCGATAGTAATGCGTCCGTCGTCCGTCCGTCTGTCTGTCTGTCTGTCTGTCTGTCTGTCCGTCTGTCTGTCTGTAAACAATTTTTCAAAATGCTACTCCTCCTACAGTTTTGGTCTGATTTCAATATAACTTGGCACACAAGTAGACTACACTAAGATACATAATTCTGTGTATCGGTTTTTGATTTCGATGAACGATGTTGCCGTGGTTACTAAAAATAGAAATTTCTTTGAAATTCTTTCAAAATGCTACTCCACCTACAGTTTTGGTCTGATTTCAATATAACTTGGCACACAAGTAGACTACACTAAGATACATAATTCTGTGTATGGGTTTTGGATTTCGATGAACGGTGTTGCCGTGGTTACGAAAAATAGAAATTTCTGTGAAATTCTTTCAAAATGCTACTCCTCCTACAGTTTTAGTCTGATTTCAATATAACTTGGCACACAAGTAGACTACACTAAGATACACAATTCTGTGTATGGGTTTTTGATTTCGATGAACGGTGTTGCCATGGTTACTAAAAATAGAAATTTCTGTGAAATTCTTTCAAAATGCTACTCCTCCTACAGTTTTAGTCTGATTTCAATATAACTTGTCACACAAGTAGACTACACTAAGATACACAATTCTGTGTATGGGTTTTGGATTTCGATGAACGGTGTTGCCGTGGTTACTAAAAATAGAAATTTCTGTGAAATTCTTTCAAAATGCTACTCCTCCTACAGTTTTAGTCTGATTTCAATATAACTTGGCACACAAGTAGACTACACTAAGATACACAATTCTGTGTATGGGTTTTGGATTTCGATGAACGGTGTTGCCGTGGTTACTAAAAATAGAAATTTCTTTGAAATTCTTTCAAAATGCTACTCCTTCTACAGTTTTAGTCTGATTTCAATATAACTTGGCACACAAGTAGACTACACTAAGATACATAATTCTGTGTATCAGTTTTTGATTTCGATGAACGGTGTTGCCGTGGTTACTAAAAATAGAAATTTCTTTGAAATTCTTTCAAAATGCTACTCCACCTACAGTTTTGGTCTGATTTCAATATAACTTGGCACACAAGTAGACTACACTAAGATACATAATTCTGTGTATGGGTTTTTGATTTCGATGAACGGTGTTGCCGTGGTTACGAAAAATAGAAATTTCTGTGAAATTCTTTCAAAATGCTACTCCTCCTACAGTTTTAGTCTGATTTCAATATAACTTGGCACACAAGTAGACTACACTAAGATACACAATTCTGTGTATGGGTTTTTGATTTCGATGAACGGTGTTGCCATGGTTACTAAAAATAGAAATTTCTGTGAAATTCTTTCAAAATGCTACTCCTCCTACAGTTTTAGTCTGATTTCAATATAACTTGGCACACAAGTAGACTACACTAAGATACACAATTCTGTGTATGGGTTTTGGATTTCGATGAACGGTGTTGCCGTGGTTACTAAAAATAGAAATTTCTGTGAAATTCTTTCAAAATGCTACTCCTCCTACAGTTTTAGTCTGATTTCAATATAACTTGGCACACAAGTAGACTACACTAAGATACACAATTCTGTGTATGGGTTTTTGATTTCGATGAACGGTGTTGCCGTGGTTATGAAAAATAGAAATTTCTGTGAAATTCTTTCAAAATGCTACTCCTTCTACAGTTTTAGTCTGATTTCAATATAACTTGGCACACAAGTAGACTACAATAAGATACATAATTCTGTGTATCAGTTTTTGATTTCGATGAACGGTGTTGCCGTGGTTACTAAAAATAGAAATTTCTGTGAAATTCTTTCAAAATGCTACTCCAAATACAATTTTAGTCTGATTATAATATAAATGTGGCATGCAAGTAGACTGCACTAAGAACATAAAGAGACTTAATCAAGGATCATTATTCTATTTATTGCTGTTGAAAAGTTTCAATTTCCAACTGCTTAAGTACTTTTCTCTTCCTTTGCTATAAGTACAAACCAGTAGAGCTTCAGTCTCGACAGAGACTTCTGGTTTCTTCCATCCCGGTTGTTGCTAATGCTATTACATAATTAGTTTAAATTAGAATGTAATAGTACTTGGACATAATTTATCATTTCAGAGAGAAGAAAACTGCGTGACTTTAAAAGAAAACCAGTGAGATAAAATCATAGAAAATGTATGATGATTCGGGTGATCATTTGGTAAGTGGTAATTCATTCATGATTCGTATGTATATGACAATTGCCTGAAAAAAAAGATTCTAAATTTTATTTAAATACTGAACTGTGGTATATCAGCTGTGAGCTACAAGAAGTTTTATGTAAAAGCTAGGGCTGAAACAATTTGCCCCCTCCATGTTATGTGTGTATTGCTATGATTGACATACAAGCAGTTCTCTAATACATACACTTCAATAAAACTTTGTCGTCTTGAACCTGAATTGAACAGGAAAAAACTCTGAGATCTCTCCAAAATTTAAATGAAAAAAAGGAAATGCTTATTAACTGATTTCTTGCTGGTCAGTATTTTGATTACTTAAAGGAAGCTCTAAAAACTGCACACTAAAGAGTTCTAGTTTAATATCAGGTAGTTTTATGAAGTTAGAGTGATCTGCCCAGAGATTAAGATTATGAAAAATGTTATTTTACAGTCAGATTATTTTTAATAGATTAGATTATTTTTAGCATTATTTAAAATTAAAAAAATAGGAAATTTATAGTTATTTTCATAAATTTTTCCAGTGTAAGTAAACAGCAATGATTTCTGCTTACAGATAGTCCATTGTCTTTGAAAATTTCTTGGGGAAATGAGGCACATACCATATGTTCTAAATGAATAAAAAAGGCTCATTATGCACATATTTATATGAAATATGATAGATTTTTTTCTCTTCAAGGAATAATTCCTGCAAGTCACTAAGTTTTTAGAGTTTCCTTTATTTTATAGATATTCAATGAAATTATTTGAAGTATTAAATTTTGGTAAATTTTATGATACTAAAAGGTTATATGAATGAAAAAAACAGCATGCGTGTATGACAATAGGGTTTAAATTTTTAATGTCTCTTAATTTTTCAGTGACATTAAAACAGGAATTGTCATCACCAATAGACGAATTTCACATTCCTAAGAGTTTTCTCCAATTGGCGGCGTATCGCTCATTTTTCCCACTTTGTCCTTTGTAAGTTACTTGTTAAATATTTTCAATCTTCAAAAATATTGGACAATTACGATCTGTATCTGTATTGCCAGAGTATGGTGGCAACATGAAAATCATAATGAATATGTTCATACAGATTTTATTTCTAAGATATTGTCCCTCAAAGTTGATATGGTTAAAGAGGGAAAACAGCGTCTTTAGCCGGTTGACCCCAGATCGACTCTGCGAAGGGGAACAACTTTTGTAAATGTGAAAGTCCTTTATACAGGGTTGTGGTTAACAATTTACATCTTAGGAGCCATGTGGGCCCCTTACTTTTCAAAGTTTAGGGGCCCACAATTTGATTTACGGGCCCACATACCTCATCAACAAAATATTTGAAAATGCTGCTTTTCTTTGTATATATAACACTTTATTTTTCATAAATAAATAATAACATTCAAATTGAACACAGGTAAAATAATTTATTTAATTAATTACCCCAACAATAAAACGCCACATTATTGGTTTTACTAGGGCATACGTCTAGGTTACACAAGTGCTTGTATCGTATACAAATGTAATAGTTTGCACACGACACCAAAAGTCATCGTTGGCGTTGTGTTTGTTATGAAAAAAGGAAGTGGATTATAAAAATACAAACAAAGCATAGTCATGTTCCGGGAACAAGACGCTCGCCATGTGGGCGATCAAATATTGATTTCTTCATCGCCTACTTGAAATTTTAATCGCATTGGTGAGTGGGCGAGTGGTTTATATAACCACAACCCTGTTATGGTATATCATATAGATCTAAAACTGACTGAATTTTGATCAGCCAATTCATGAACATGATGAATGGATGTAAATAATGTTGGTCAATATATGTAAAAAAAAAAATTAAATTACTTGTTTATGTATACATTTGTGGTATCTCTCCCATTGAAGTTTATAAACTTGTTATTTATTTCTTAAATAAACTGAGCGTACATGCAATACCGGTATAAAATTACTCATAAGATACATGTATACTTAAACCATGATAAAATCATATGTGTCCAATGCAGCATATGATAAATCATTAACATACAAGTACATGTGTATATATACTGTAATACATTATATATTGCATTATTTTTAGGTCCTGTTCTGTGGATGCCCTAAGACAGTGTCTACCCATCACTCCATCTGAAATCACTTGTTCTGTGCATATTTCTCTCTCAGACTTAAACTACAGAGAGCCTGTGGATAGAGGATGAAGAGTGACCTTGGACTAATTTTCTAGGTCAAAGGTCAGTATCAAAATCTACTGTATATCTTTATTTAAAATCGTAGTCCAGAGTATATTTCTCCCCTGGTGTAATCTAGCTTTTGTGCAATAGGGTGGAGGGTCTGCAATGATCTACAACCAATTTCTAGGTCGAATATCAAAATTTAAAAAAAAATCTCTCCCTAATATATTTGTTATTATAAAGGGTATGTTTTCTCTCAAACTAATCAAACTTAAAGCAGGGTTCTTAGTATGAGATACATGTAGTAATATATTCTCAATGACATAATAAGGCTGAAAACATTATTTATATTATGTTATTTTTTTTTCACTTATCATAAAGCATTAAATATTAAAGAGATACATTAAATGCTGAAATCATGGAAAGTATTTATTGATATTGGTATATTAAAGGACATTGACTGATCTTTCAGATTTCTAAGTTATATTCAAGCATTATAATTCTGACATCATATAATAATTTTGTATGAATATTGCAGATCATAGGTGATGTGAAGAAAACCAGGAAACTGATGTTGAAAGAAGTACTTAATGACCCTTATGAATGGACTTAAATGTGAAAGACTGTTCCATTGTTTATCTAAGATATATGAATTTATTTAATATTTTGATATCATTGAAAAATTCAGTTACAGTTTTTGTACATCAAATGAATTATTAAACATATAAAATGGTAATGCTTTTTTCTTTTACATGTAATAAATTTTTTTGATAGATTTTTAAAAGAATACACATTATTTCACATTGCTTCCTTTAGAAAAGTTAGGGAGTCTTGAAGTTTTCCAGTAAGTTCCACCAGGAATGGGACTCCAGATAATTCCACAAAGTTTCCGCCACACAGAAAGTGCTACACAAGTTCCATATAGTTTCCTGAGTCAAGGAAACTTCAGGAATCATAAGGTTTCACGAGCTTCCATGTAGTTTCCCATAAAAGAAAACCTTAAGATTCCATCAAGTTTCCATTCCACGGAAACCACTACGCTCATATTCCATATGGTTTCCTGAGTCGAGGAAACTTTAGGAATCGTTAGGTTTCCCGAGCTTCCATGTAGTTTCCCATATAAGGAAACCTAAAGATTCCATCAAGTTTCCATTCCATGGAAACCACTACGCTCCGATTCCATATGGTTTCCTGAGTCAAGGAAACTTTAGGAATCGTGAGGTTTCCCGAGCTTCCATGTAGTTTCCCATAAAAGGAAACATAAAGATTCCACCAAGTTTCCATTCCACGGAAACCCCCTACGCTCCGATTCCATCAAGTTTCCTGATTCTGGAAACCAGTGGAATCTTCAGGTTTCCCATTACGGGAAACTACATGGATGTTCGGGAAACTTCAAGTTTACAGAGGTTTCCGTGGTTCGGGATACCTTATGGAATCGGAGCGTAGGGGGTTTCCGTGTCACGGAAACTTGGCGGAATAACCTAGCATCCGCTACGGAAACCACTGGGAAACATGATGTAAACTTGAGGTTTCCATGTGGTTTCCATAAAGTTTCCCATGATGGGAAACCACTTTTTTCACCCAGTGATGGTATATATACCATCCTTTCTTTTCCGACCTGGATTTTTCTTTAGTATGGTTGTACAGTCTCTGTACTTAACTTAAGTAATAAAAATCATCTTTATTGTTGCATACTCTTTTGCATTTATTATGTTAAAAATAGCAATGTGTGCAGTAGATAAGCAGAATCGAACAATTTAATAAGTCATGAGACCATGTTAAAATAAATGTATATTATCTTAGAAGAAATAATTCAACAATTACTGTAGATCTTAAATATTAATTATACCCGCACTTTCTAAAGAAAGTTCGGGTATATTGTTGTTACTCATGTCCGTCCGTCCGTCCTTCCGTCCGTCTGTCACACTTTTCTTCCCTGAACTCCTCCTACATTTTTCACAGTAGCTTAATCATCTTTTGGGAGATGGTTGGGGGTGTCATGTAGATGTGCAGTAAAGTTTCGGAATTTTGATTTTGCCCCAGTGGATCAAATGGGGGTCGAAAAATGACGTTTTTTATGCTAAAAGCCCCGTCTTCCCTGAACTCCTACATTTTACTCAGCAGCCTAATCATCTTTTGAGAGATGGTTGGTGGTGTCATGTAGATGTGCAGTAAGGTTTCTGTATTTTGATTTTGCCCCGGGGGGTCAAATGGGGGTTAAGAAAAATGACGTTTTTATATGTAAAAAGCACCGTATTCCCTGAACTCCTCTTACATTTGACCAAGTAGCCAAATCATCTTTTAAGAGATGTTTGGTGGTGTCATGTAGATTTGCAGTAAGGTTTCGGAATTTTGATTTTGCTCCGGGAGGTCAAATGGGGGTCGAAAAATGATGTTTTTTATGCAAAAAGCACCTTCTTCCCCGAACTCCTTCTACATTTTACACAGCAGCCTTATCGTCTATTGAAAGATGGTTTGTGGTTTCATGTAGATGTGCAGTAAGGTTTCGGAATTTTGATTTTGCCCCAGGGGATCAAATGGGGGTCGAAAAATGACGTTTTTTATGCTAAAAGCACCATCTTCCCTGAACACCTTCTACATTTTACACAATAGCCTGATCATTTTTTGGGAGTTGGTTAGTGGTGTCATGTAGATGTGTAGAAGGGTTTCGGAATTTTGATTTTGCCCCGGGGGGTCAAATGAGGGTCAAAAATTGATGTTTTTTTATGCAAAAAGCCCCGTCTTCCCTAAACTCCTCTTACATTTTACTCAGTAGGCTAATCATCTTTTGGGAGATGGTTGGTGGTGTCATGTAGTTGTGCAGTAAGGTTTCGGAATTTTCATTTTGGGGGAGGGGGGGGTGTCAGATCGGGGTAGAATTTTTTTTAATTTTTTTTTTTTTACATATATTTGATATGTTTTATCACCCTGCTTTAAAGAACTTCCCTAATATCTTATGCTGCAATAGCTTTAAACCATGATCATTTAGAAAATGATTGGATTGTTTTGCGTATGTGTAAAATGGTTTCAAAATTTGAATTTTCATGTGGATGGCAAAAAGGGGGAGGAAAAATATTGCCCCTCCCTAACCCTGGGGGTCATGATTTGTACAAACTTGAATCTACACTTCTTGAGAATATTTCCATATTAATCATGCTCTTGGTGTTCTTGAAAAGAAGAATTTTGAAGATGTGTTTCCTTTTATTCCTAAATAAAACTTGGATCCCTAATTGTGGCCCGACCCTAGCCTGAGGTGATGATTTGAAAAACAAGAAATAAGTCTATAGGACATGAATGTCCCGCCAGATGTGTATTACTAATGGTACATGAAAATTTGTATTAGTGTATAAAGTTTGATGAAAATATTTTAAACAGTTTTTTTTCAGAATTGAAACTAAAATATAAATAAATTGGATATAGATAATAAATTCTCATCAAATTATGTATAAGTGCATGCTAAACATAAAAATGTCTTAAATTATTTCTTTAAAACTAAGCAAAATACAAATTAAAGAGGAGGGAGGTCAAGGTTACAGGAATCTGCAAGATGAAGTTTTTGATGCAGCTGAATAGCTCTCACTAATACATATCAGCATATTGTGTTTGATAAAAATATCTTGAATAATTTAATGAAACTGAGCTTAACACTTTGTTTTAAGAAAAGAGAGGTCAAAGGAAAGGTTGGGGTCAAAATGTTGTTCTAGCTGAAAAGCTTACATCAGTGTGAATTTACTATTAGCATATGAAGTTTGATAAAAATATAATTAATAGTTTATTTAAAACTTAGATAAACACATATTTTAAAAAGTGAGGTCAAGGTCAAAAGAAAATTCAAGGTCAAAATAAGTTAATGCAATAATAGCTCTCATCAGTATGTATTAGCATATGAAGTTTGATAAATATATCTTGAATTGTTTATTCAAAAATCATCTAGTCTTTGACATTAATTTTAGAAAAGTGAATTACATGTGAAAAGACTTTTCTAAATATATCATGACTTTTGACTCTGTGATCTTGACCTAGAAGTTTTTATATTAAGTCTTTTCACATGTAATATACATGTATAATTTAAATGCCATATCTTTTCTCTTTCAAAATGATTAATTTAAAATGTTATTTTTTAGAAAGTAGGAAAAATTTTAAGGTCAAGGTATCACTTGGGTTAAAAAATCGAAGTACATTTAGAAAGTTTTGTGGTAATGTACATGTGAAATATGAAAGCCCTATCTCTAATTATTCAAAAGTTATGACCAAGGTTAAATTTATTGTGACAGATGCACATACTGTCAAAGATGGTCAGACTGACAGACAAATAAGATTTAATGTTCCTTCCATTTCCCCCAAAATGGGGGACAATAATGCCCTTGCTGTTCTTGAGAAGAAGATTTATGATAGAAAAAATCCCCTGCATATTTCTTAACGCAAACCAATATTGTGTTTTTATGTCATTTAATTGTTTGTTGTTAAACATCCCTCTCAGGAATTTTTCACTCAAATGGAGACACCACCACTTGAAAAATAATGAGGACAAGTCAGATTTGAGGTCAGCATTCATTTTAGGAGTTTTCAACCATTAAGACGTAAAGAGACATGAACTCTATCCTTCCCCTCACCCCATCCCAGACCCCTGTTTATTCATGACATGTATGCAAACTACAACTTGTTTTTACATTTAAAAAAAAATTTTAATAGCCTATATACAAATACTTTAATGTGGTCCATCTCTTTGAATGATTTTCATTCCTAATTCTAGAAGGATAGGTTGATGAATAAAATGTAAAGCAATCTTATCATTGATGCACTTTTATTTAATTTAATGCAGTCATATTGTGAACATTTCCAGTTAGAATCATTAGGAGAGTGGGGATGACCTCCAGGGGGTTTAAAACCTTTATACCATTAAATTTACATAACATAATAACACAAAAGCAAAATTATGTATAGTCAAATGGAAAAAGTTTCCTACTATTTAGGAGTCACATGATCATTTGTCATTACTGTTTACAGGGACTACAGGGACAGGGAGTGGATTGGGAGACACCCCCCCCCCCCCCTAATTTGCAGTACTATAATATATACTGAAGAAAATAAAAACGACTTTGGATGCCCTCCACCCTAGAAAACAGACACCACCATAACTTCTCCTTTTATTTGCTTCTCAGGAAATTCTGGTCTGGAAATCCCCCCTCCCTCCCAGAAAAAAAATTCTGTATCTTGTAACTGTAACGTCGATAACGGGCGATAACTCTTCAGAATGTGAAATTCGTCTTATTGCAGCATTGGATGACCTTTGCTCCTTTAAACTTTAACCTAACCAGTTGCATTTCAGACTATTTTACCCAAATCTATACCAAAACTTGTACTTACCGACTGCCATAGGTCCCGTCAACTTGAAGTATAATCCAATTAAAACACAAAATAATTCCTACTGACATACATGCAATGATGTGTACACAACACTAGTACTGCACGTGCAGTGCTAACTAAAAATGATAATGGTAAAACTAGTACTTAAGTTGGGTACGTGACGCAAGCCCAATGTGATGCAGGTCTTCAGATACATTTAATGTATAAGAACAAATTTAAAATTATTATTTACAAAAGATGTTTTATCTTAACTCTGCCATCTAGACCTATTTCCAAAAACAGGAAAATAGGGTGTGTTTGTGTTTGTCTGTGTTGATGGGAGATGCGTGGGGTTGACTAAATTGATTGGGTATACATTGTATATGGCAG